ACAGTGCCCTTTTACAGTGTCCCCCTCACTATACTGGGGCATTAGGACCCACACGGACTGCAAGGTGAGCACCCTCTGCTGGCCCCATTTACACCTCTTCCAGCAACAACCTTGGTTTTTCTCAGGAGTCTCCCATCCAGGTACTGACCAGGCTCACACCTGCTGAGCTTCAGTGGGCTGCCAATTGTGAGCTGCAGGGTGACATGGCTGCAGGCGTTTGTGGTGGTCTAGATAGGGTTTTTGAGGCTTTCTGACGACATCAGGTGAACCAGCAGCTCTCTTGTGCAGCCCCCATGCTACAGTATACTGTATAAATACATTTGATTTTTAAAGGAAATGTGAAGATCTGTAATTGTAATAATTCTGTAAGTATTTTGCCCTTTGTTGTGGCAAACTTCAATCAGTTCAGGTGCAAAATAGTTAAAATGGCTGTGGCTAAAGACAGTACTGGGAAAGTTAAGAAATTTTATTTAAGGGGATACACAGGTCAGGCATCCGATGTATCTTCAGGAAGAGTTGTCCTCCTTCCCTGATCTAAGACATCTCATTCTCCTCATATTATTGTCTGAACTTGCCTAAACAGAGCAAATATTGCCCTGGGCCCAGGAAGGCTTTGGTGATATACGTGGAAGCGCATTGAAAATTAAGAACAACAGATATTCTTTACCTAAAGGATGGTAGGTGTATGAAACAAGCTACCCAGCCCAACCCTGGCTTTTTTCAAGTAAAGGTTCTCTGAGATTCTTCAATCAATTAGCTACTAAGTACTAAATAGACTAGATGGGCCAAATAGCCTCCTGTCATTGGTAACCTTTCTCATGCTCTTAAGATTTCTGACTGGACAAAGCAGCATTAATACATTGATGACTGTTAAAGCAGCTCCACTAGTGAATGCCACAAATTACATTTCTGTGACTCCAAGAAGTGTGAAGTAATGATGACCACGTCTTTGCTCACCGAAAGAGTTGAACATTGCATTTTGTCCTGGCAACGCGGTGATGTGACAAGGATAAATACCACCCTTTCATGCTGACACAGGTTTTCTGGACTCCCACTTCTGATCTTTTCGAATAAAATTGAATAAAACAGAAGCCCCAGAGTGACAGGAAGTGCTTAATAGCATGCCCAGGGGGACTTTGCTTATGAACAACACCTTGAAAGAGAATTGTTACATTTCTCGATTTAGGCTGACAACCAGAAATCCATTAACCTTTTACTTTTTTACACCTCATGTTGCGTTATGTAATGCGAAATGCCCCTGTTGCTTTCTTGTCTTTTTCCCAGAATGTTTGGCATTTTAAAACGCAAGTATCCTGCTTTTCAGAAGACTTCAATAATTGCTGTTTTGGATTATATCTTCCTGGAAGACTGAGAGGAGACCAGCATCAACTAAGCTCTGCCTTGTTCTTTCAGAAATCTGAATTTATACTGTATACCTCCAGGGCAGAAAAGCAACAAAAAAGATTCTAACAATCTTCCTTAGAGATAAAATAATTTAATAATCTTATCTCCATTCCTCCCACTTAGACAGGTTTCCTTGGGAATCTCTCAGGGCTGACAGGTTTGGATTCTCCTTGAAAATGGACAGAAGTTTGACTAAGATTTTAAGATCACTCTATTAGCCATATACTTGCCATATTCTTGCATTAGGAATTCATCTTTTCACATACCCCAGCTTGCTCTCCACGAGACACAGACAAGGAGAGAAGCTGGGGGTCAGAGCGCAGGGTCAGCCATTGTACATCACCCCTGGAGTAGTTAGGGTTAAGGGCCTTGCTCAGGGGCCCAACAGAGTAGGATTCCTCTGCTGGCCACAGGATTTGAACCAGCAACCTTCCAGTCACAGGCGCAGATGGTGCAAATGTATTGTAGACAAAATGATTTTTCTTTCTTATCTTGACACCCGGGTTTGCTTTTGTTGATACAAACATTCATCCATTGAGAGTATTTTTTAACCAATATACTTCAGGGTTGCATGGGAGCCAGAGCCTATCCCAGCAAGCAATGGGCACAAGGCAGGATACACCCAACATGGGATGCCAGTCCATCACAGTGCACACACAGACATGCAAACACTCACACAAGGTCCAGTTTTCCCAGTTAACTGACTTGTCTTTGTTCTGTGGGAGGAAAACAGAACACCCAGAGGAAACCCAGTCATACTCTGGGATTTCATACAAATTCCATGGAGAAACAGATACAGATATGAAGCAGCAGTGCTATCCAGGTGTGTCATCTTGCCAACCCCCGATACAAACACATGCGCATACATTTGTAATATAAGGAGAAATTACTTTTAACACCTGAAGCAATTCCTCAGTCCTTCATTATAAAAGGCCACAACATAGAGCTAGGAAGAAAAGTAGCTCACCATTGTGGTAAATCACAAGATTTTATTTAGAGACAGTATTGTGGTAGCTGCTATAAAGGAGAGGTCAGTAAGTCAAATCCAGTGTAATGTAATCATATTTAGGTGCAGGTGGGGAGTTGTGCCAGTGGGCAGGCTGCAAAAGAACAAGCAGTGGTTAACTCCACTGGGAAAAGTGGAAAAATTCTTTTTTTAGTTTTCAGCTTGGCTATAACTTCTTCTTGTTCCTTCTTCATTATTGTATATCTGTACACCAGAATGTATGTTTTAATTTAAAAAAAGGTTTATTAGAAGCTATACAATTAATGATTTAGTTACAAAGTAAAATAAATAGTGACAGATACATCATAATTGACCACAGTGGTGATTACTTACTGTAATTATTCTTTAGTTCTGGCTAAAATTAATTAAATAATTTGTCAAACTGTCAAGTTGTATACTAATTCCTTTCGTAAAGAATTATCTATACTGTACTTGAATAGTTAAAAGAAGCTCAGAATATGTTCTGTAGCACATTTCAAACGTAACTGATGTCATGTTTTACTTTTGCAACTAAAAGGCATTGAATTCTCTCTGACAGTGCTGAGTGGCTTTCGTCTAGTTTTTCTAAATCTTACACAATGCTCAGCATAACAAAAAAAAGAATAAACCATTGTAAAATTAGAACATCCCTTGATTAAATTGAATGACATTTTCTCCTCATTTCTCTACAGGAGTGTCAGGTGACCAGTGTAAGATTTCTTTTAGTTTGTTTGCAGTCCAAAGTTACTTACGTTTGTACCTCATACTCAGAGGAGAGTGCTTTATAAGAGAAGCTGCACACACTACCATGCACAAGAGTACATACAGCACCTTAACCACGTTTTGAACCCACAACCTCCCAGTTCTGAGTCAAGCACCTTGAGCACTGTCGTACTGCTGACCTTTGGCTGGCTAAATCATGCGTTAAAATTGACAATAGTACAGTCTTTCTCTAATTAAAATGGCACTTCAATTATAATCAGTTTATAGAGATTAGAATAATAAACACATGTTTATCCTTTGGGATATTGTATTATACATTTGTGTATTTTAACACGTACATAATACATACAGTAGTATTTGCTTCATAGGTTTGTGGCACAGACACAACTGATAAACTTTTCAAAGGTTGCCTTTCTATAAAAGACACATTAAAGGTAGATAGTCGTTTGACTTTGACACCCTGGTCATTTAGACGTAATTTATTTAGCCATTGATTTGTGCGTTTCAGCAAATTCTATATTGATGCACAATGAAAATGCAGTAGTCTCAAGTTTTACATCAATAGGTGGGATATGGGATAACAAACTGCTAACCTCCAGTCATGCAATTTCATGACTTAGTGTTTGACATTTTAGTGGAGTTTGAATTGAGAAAGTAGTTTACTTCCTAGTGCCTGTATAAACAGCCATTCAAACAGCCATTACTTTGATGAGTACAAGAATACCGAAACAGATGGACTGTACCATGACCCTCTTTGGTAATGAAGATCGCCTTGACACCCTGGCTGAAGGAAGTCTGCCTCTCTGGCTGAGGACCCTCTGATCACCTGCATGATTGTTTTCAGGCTGCGGTGGCTATGGAACAGGAGGTGCTAGTGAGAACGAATCCATGCATCTGCAGATGGGCTGTAACTTACAGCATGAAATGCCTCTACTTGCTCAAGCACCGTTAACAGCTCAGAAACAGCGTCTTCTGTGGGCCAGGGGACCTGTGTGAGGTGATGGCAGAGAAAGTGGTGGAGTGTTTTATTCACTGATGAATGCTGTTTCTCTTTTGACTGGCCCGTTGGCATGGTGGGCCACACTAATTGTTGGCATTCCTCAAGCCAAACGGTGAAGCAGAGGAAGTGTGATATTATGGGAAGGAAGATCTTCGAATTCAAGCACGCCTTCAGGATGAGAAACGTTACTGCAGACAACAAAGTTTGTTAAAGAAAGGTGGAATTGTAAACATGAAACTCGAATTTCCTTTGTCTAACCTGTCTCCCAGCTGTGGTTATTATTTTATTTAAAAGCAAGGGCCAGCCACTGAATTGCAAGATCATGACTTTGAAAAACAGAACACCTTAAAAGATGTGCTTATGTAGCTTTTCCCCCAGAGATGAATTAGCTCTTTTACAGAACTTGATTAGTAAGGATTATGTTATGGTATGACAAGCAAGAAAGAAATAAGTGCTTAAATCAAACCCTCATATATGAAAACTTATACTGTATTGCTTTTTATGCAAAAATAGCACATTGCTGCAAAAGAACATTGAAATGTAACAGATGGGCAACAATTCAGATCACAAGATTATGCTTTACTGTTATAACAGCTGTTAATTTGTGTGTGATATTTTCATTTCACATTTATATTTTTATATGGATGTCACTTCTTAACTTTTTGCATTTGATTAATTTTGTAGCTCTTTCATTGTGCAGGGAGGTGACTTATTGTGTCTCTGTGTTGTTGTGCAGGGAGGTGACTTCCAGTGCGTGTCTGTGTTGATGTGCAGGGAGGTGACTTACAATGTGTGTCTGAATCATTACGCAGGGAGGTGACTTACAGTGTGTGTCTGTATCATTGCGCAGGGAGGTGACTTACAGTGTGTGTCGGTGTCGTTGTGCAGGGAGGTGGCTCAGATCGACCAGTTTCTGCAGGAGACGGCAGCACGGGAGGCCAACGCCAAGGTGCGTTTGCAGCAGTTCATCGAGGAGCTCCTGGACCGTGCCGACCGCGCAGAGAAGCAGCTCCAGATCATCAGCAGCTGTGGTACCACGCCCAACGGCAGCCTGAGCCACTGCAGTATGCCTGGCTCCAAGAGCACTGGGCGGCAGGTAAGCACTTGAGCGAACTAAAGCCCCAGTGCTTAAACCTACACTTTGGCAAGTACCCTGTAGTAGCACCTGGGTTTGCTGTCTCCCACATGCGTCATACAGTATGTATACATTCTTCCTGTTATTATTGTCAGGATTATTGCAAAAGTCTTTATTATCATTACTCTTACCACCAATAAGAGCACGGATATGAGCAGCTAGAGGTCAGGATCATTAAGCTGCTATTATGGTTTTCCTGATTCTACGCCTGTTACTCCAGTCCAATGGACTCCAGCACTAGTTTGGAGTTTAATCTACAATGGACTAAAACCCAAAATGTGGGTTTTTGTTTTCTCAGTCTGCTCAAGACTTCAAAAGAGGTCTAGGACCTAGAGCCCTAAGACACTTAACTACGGCTAACCTTTGTTAAATTGCCATCTTGTTAAATATCATGTTTTCCCTCTTAGGACAGCAGTGTCATTTCACAAATGTATGGAGATAATTATTTCAAAAATATAATTTAATTTCAGACGTATAGAACCATAAAGATACAGTAACAATAAGTTAATAATAATAAACTTTATATTATACAGCACTGTATAAGGTGGATTCTCAAAGTGCTTTACAGAATGACAACAACAATAAATAAAAGAATACACAAGGTAAAACACAATTACAATACACAGAGGAGACCGTGGATGGTGGTACTAAGAAAGGCAGAGGGGTGAAGAATGGAACCAGTTAAGTAAAGGCTTTTCTAAAGAATGTCAATGTTAACATTAACAAGAATGTTAATCTCACAGTGTAATTCAAAGGTCTTTTAGAATCCTGTCTGTGTAGAAGTAAGGCAATCACATATAGTGTACATTACTTTTTGATTCATATAGACACAATACAGTACATATGGCACACTGCATGCATGTTAAATATTTATACGCATGAATGGAGATGTGCTGAGCCGTGAATATCAGAAAAGCAAAGCAGTGGGATTTTCCCTCCAGTAATATAGGCTTATGTTTACTAATATGAAATACAAATATTTAAACATATTTACAGTTTGTGTTTTCATATTTCTTTTAATATTTGATGTATTAACTAAATGATATACTTATAGCTGTTATAGATGATTTTACATGCCACAGGTAACAATATTGAAGTATTGGGCATTGATATTTTAAATGTATTGTACTGTATTCTTTAGTTACAAATGGTGTTTTCCTTAAGCAGTCTTATTTAAGAACTAAGAATATTTTTAAAGGCAAATGGAAAAAATATAGATGAGTAACTATGCACTTGTGCTTTCATCTCAGTGAACGTGCATATTCTCATTTGATTATGGTGAAAATCCACAAAGTAGGAGGACTTGAAGCCTCTTGAGAGACATTCTTTTCCGATGAGTCCCTGTTCTGCCAAATTCTCAGACGCTGGGCGCATTTATTCCTGTCATTTTTTCCAGTGTGTTTATAATCTATGTCTTTAGCCAGTCTGAAAGCATAGAGGTTACTGTGAGTGTGAGGAGCCGTGTTTGAAAAGTAGTCAACCAGTGGTTGTCTCGGGACACTGCCAACCCCAGCTTCTGTGTTTCAGAGTTTATTTAAGCATCTGATTCTCTTGCGACCAGCTTTGATGTTAAACAGTTAGTTCTCGTGATGCTAAATGATGCTATTTCATGCTTGCTCAGTAAAAAATGTTCAGAACAGGCAACATCATTATATAGAGCGTTATTATGAAATATTATTATTACTTTTCTAGAAAATGATTAAAGAAGGAATAATTGCTATACTTCGACAGGGTTTACATGCTATTTCTAATGCATTTGAAAAGGCAGTAAAGTATTTTTGCAAATTGTAAATACTGTACATAGTTATTTGATTCATTTTCTCATTATAAAGTTCAGATGGGTAGCTGTGTCAGGATGCGTAGGCTGCAAAGGAACAAGTAATAGGTGTATTCCATGCTGAAAAGAGAAGAAAGGAAGAAAATGTTGTTTTCTTTTTTGTCTTTTCAGCATGGAATAAACCTTTTACTTGTTCATTATAAAGAAGTTGTGTTTGATACAAGATAAAGGTATATGTAGGTTTACTTCTCAGATTTCACCCGTTTTCTCCAATAAACATTTCGGAGACAGTGCATGTAGCATCATATTTGTTCACTGTGAAATTTAAGATGCTTTTGTCCTTTTTCTGTCACTTCAGAATCTATTTCATCATCGCCATAGCCACAGCAGTTTCTGCCATGCCATGATGCAGTCTGTCCCAATCACTTGCAGGTTTCTCCTAAAAGGAGCATCTTAATGGCCTGTACATTGGTCCAAATCCTATAATGTTAGAATAAGTAAACCAAAAAATAATGTGTTGTGCTTTTGTAATTCATAGTGATTACCCAGTGTTGCAAGAGACTTTGTTGACAGCCATAAACCTCTGTAGCTCTCCATGAAAAGAGTAATATATTAGGCCAATTAATGTTACATCAACTAGGACAAAATATAGTTTGTGGGCAGTTTGGGGATTCATTTCATATTTTGTATAAGTCAGGTATTGGGGATAGAGTCTGACGTCCAGTATCCACAGGCAATCCACAGCCTACAATCCCATAAATTTAAAAAATGTTAAGCTGATACACTCTTAAGCAGGCAACATGGATAACTACTGTAACTTTGTATAATATACAGTATGGCACAGTTTTCCTTTATTTGCTGTGGTTTACACCTGAACCAGGACAGGAATGAGAGTTAAGAATTCTCTTATGAAGTTGGTATGGACTCCTTCTGCTGAAATAAAATCTCAGGATCCTAGACTGCTTACAGCCGTGAAATGATGTGCTGCACCTGAAGGTAAAGGAAATTTATTTTGTCATCTTTTGCCTTTTCCTCAGAGAGAGAGAAACTCCAGCACTTCGGCTGTTTCAAGAGGAGTGTATCAAGTGTCAGATCGACGCTCTTCTCCGAGCACTGGGTAGGTCTGATGAACTCGGAGTAGATTTTATCTCCATCGCTTCTCTGTCCATAGCGTCTACACTGATAGTCCTGAGCGAAGCAGCGTTTAAACCTCAGGCATGCTTATCCACAATTTATCCACTATGAAATGTGCTGCCGTTGAGTTGCTTTGTGAAAAAAATAATTAACTCACTTGGATTTGACCTGCAGTTCCCTTGCTTCAGGCATGTGAGACTTGTGAGGCTTGTGAGACAGACCTGTTATTTCTTTTTGTTTCATGAATAGATTAATGAATAGTATGCAAATGTCCACTAGTTTACTAGTATTGGTATTCTCCAAGACTTTTATAGTGCTGTTGATTCTATGGTTAACTTGTAGAATTCCTAAAACACCTGTCTTATGAAAGAGGAACACTGCAAAACCACAAACTTAAATGCAGACCTGGTCTGAGAAGCTGAGGCACCCCACACTTCTGTTGCTTTCCTCAAAGGCATTGACAGCTCAGAAACAACAGTGAAACACGAACCAGAGGATGCAAGAGGATACTACATTAAACTACTTTTAAAACTGAGAGCAGGAGGCACTTCTTTACCTGTGGGAGTTGTGGGAGTGTGGACCAAGCCGCCCAGCCATGTTGCTGAAGCCAATATCCAGCTGTTTCTCAATAGAAACCAGGGTGAAGTACTTGGGTTAATTAGGTACTATGAAATGGGCTACACGGATCACAGAGCCTCCTCTTGTTTGTAGAGAAAAAACAATGGTGTTGTGACAGGCCTCAATTTAAATAAGACAGTTATAGTCTAAGGTGGCTCATGAGGCCTGAGCCCATAAAAACTCACAGTTGCACAAAGAAATACTGTGCAAGAAGTCATTATCAAAGCACAACTCTCCACTGGATTAGAAAAAAAAACTTGCTCCTCAAACAACCAAACACCAACTACCACAGTGAAGGAATTGTGACGTGATGCGGCCCTTCCTGCTCACTAGTCTCTGTAATGACTAATGTGCTTTGATGTACAAGCGAATGAATGCAGGTTGTGCAGCAGACATTTCACCGCAGAAATGTTCCAACGTGATCTGCATGCAGCATTAACAAGTAGTATTTGTTGGCAAAACCGTCTTGAAATCGAAAGCAATATTTCTATTGGATTAAAAGAAATCTTTTCACAAACCTGTTTGTTTTCAATGTCATGGGGCCGCACACGTCCGGAAGTTTTATTGTCTCATTCTGAATCGCAAAATATGGAACTTCCTGGAAATTATGTCTATTTTGTGATGTACGTTGGAGGTTTTACAGTTACTGTGTACTGTACATTTTACTGTTATTGTAGTTTGCAATGCCCTCATCAGTGCTGATTCTTTATAACCCTGAAATATGAAAATAGCTTTGCAGTTATCCTTTATTTAACCAATTAATCCCCACTGTAGTTAATTACCCGCATTTGAGGCCATTAATGACTCATGGTGACCTGACCTGTCACAGGTGTGTTTATCCATTATAGCCTTATAGAAAACATTTTCGGTCTGGCCATTCTACAACTCAAAATGTGTATGACAATCAGGAATGGAAGTTGTGGCTGTCCAATTCATTGTCCCATTTGGTTTCTGCCTCAATTGAGCAGTGTGACATAAAATGTTTTGGCCATGTGTTTTGAGAATTGGTCGGCCAGTGAAGTGTGTTAAATTACAAGCCATGCGGAACCAAATGGAGGGCTGGTGTTTGCATTAAAATGTTGACACAGCCAAAGAAAACTGCACTGGATTTTCCCTAACAGAAATAGCAGCAGACTGAAATAATAAGATGGCTAATAACATAGACATAGAAACAAAATACTAGAAATAATGCAATTTTGGAAATATCAACGGGAAGGCATCCACCTGCCTTCTCCATGCTCTATAGTGTGCAGAAATGCAATTGTTTCTGTGGAGTTCCCAATGGGAATTGTCATTCAACTACGTAAATGCCGTATTTGTATGTGTTTGTTAGGAACTACCCAGATCAACTGCACATATCCTCTCCTGCCACGGTGTAGGCCTTGTCTTTCACATTCTCCACATCAAAAGCAATCCAGGAACATTTTCAGAACCTGATAATGTTATGAATGATGGTCCCCTTTTTATATTGATTTCACTCTTTAATCAGCTAATTTTATTTTTAAAATAGATGTTGCTAATGGAAATGCCCCATCATAACTGCAGCTCTTTTTCTGTGAGAGGATGGTAGGCTGCACCAAGAGGTAAGAGCGAAAGAGCCAGTAAACCAGGAAGTTTATTTACAGGACCTGATCGAAAGTCCACCAGTTTGCCAGCTGTTTGAGACTGGGACCAACCCCAACACCCCAAGTTGACACAAAGACAAAATCAAATTGAACAAAGTCTAAAAACACATCAGCTTTGTCCAAGATCTTTCCTGGAGCCTTCCTCCTTTTATCTGTTTCTGACACTGGCATGGAGTGCCCGCCTGGATCTGATGTGTGACAGTGGGAAGGGATTCCCCACTATGCACCACTACAGCGCCCTCTAACTGTCCTCTCTCTGACTAGACCCGCGTGAGAATGTACTGTAATTCAATTCAAGCTGCTTTATTAGCATGACCGATGGGTACAATCAGTGTTGCCAAAGCAAATAAAAATAATATATCGGCACCACCTGGGACTTCATTAGAAACCCTATATTACATTCACACGCGATCTCCCTGAGTTCGCCTCAGAACCATGGCACCAGCTGAAAGGCTGTGGAAGCCTGTTTCATTCTCCTAGAAGATTATCTTCCCCTTGCGTAGACTCTCGACACTTCATTAATTCTCGCTGGCTAAGAGAACACATCTCAGTGACTACATGTCGGCTCTCTACCTCGACCAGAGGCACCGACCCTCCGCCGGCAATAAAGGCAGCCAGAAATCCCACACCGTTACAGAGGATGGTTGGCTAATTGAACATCTATTACGGACAGACATTCCTGGAATGTTCAGGTTAACTCCCCTGGGCTTGTTACTCCATTATCTATTTTCAGTTAGGTAGGATTTCTAAATACCTCCATATACACCTCTACATTGCAAAGCAGATAGAATTCGAGCTTGTGCCGCAGTCTTCTTTAAATGGTTTCATCGAGATAATACCATGTTTTACGGTAGTTTTCAATTGCTTAAAGTGGGCATTGTGAACTAAAATATGAACGCCAATAGGTTGTACTTCTCACAGAAGGATTCTGAAGGAAATACTATTATAAGAGGCTTAAAATGGATAACCAAATTGCTGATCATTTTGGTTTTAAGTATTCAATTATTGAACGCTTAGATATCACCAATAATTTGGACTGAATTTGGAGATTTACATCTAAACTGGGATTAAGGATTTTCAGTGTGACAAAATCAGTCCAGTTTTCTCCTTCTCTATATGTACCTTATCATCAGTGATATTTCTTTTTGTGTCTACACTCTGAATTTAAATAAACTCAGCAAGTGTTTTCAATGCTTCAAGCACATGTCATATCATCCAAGAAGGTCTGATATTTTTTGTTTGCCCTGGTGTGCTGTCAGTATCTCAAAGCATGTTTGACATAATTTGCTAGCCAAAGATTACACCCAGCTGCTGAAGCAGCTCTCTGTTACTCTGAGTCATATGCTAAGAAATTAAGAAGCTACCAGATTTGGACAGCCAGTACATTATTAGCCTCCACTTTTTTTCATGACCCAAAAATGACACATTAAACCAGTATCTGAAGTATGAGGTAAAACCATTTGTGGTAAGATATTCAGCTGCATGTCGTTAATAGCAGCTGAGTTCTGCTCGTTTGCTCACTAAAAAATTAGCCCATAACGAAGAGAGAGAGAGCATGTTTATGTGTTAAATCTTGCCTGCAATTTTGAGGTCAGTTCTAGTAGAGGTCTTTTTGTTCTTGGTGTGAAAGATAATCACTGCCTACTATCATAAGCAGTCAGTGCTTCAATTCTTAGTGAATTTATTATGTACTGTATATTGCTTACAAAAATATAAACACTTTACACTGTAATATTAATAGCAGAGCAAAGTCATATTTCTCATAAATCAGTTACAGTAAGTCGAGAAAGCACAAGAGTCACATTTATTCACACTTCTATAGTTAATATTTTGTTAATTCTCCTCTAGCAGGGTGTGAACTTTGAAAATACCTCCTGTACTGTATTATGAGGTTCTGGCACACCTTCTTTGTATACCATGTATCCAGATAGAATTTCTATCTGTCCTTCAAACTTTTTGGTTGCTGTTTGAGAAGTGCCTCCTTGACTCTGCAATCTAGGTGCTTGTGTAAAATGTCCTGGTGCAGTACATGTTGCAATTCATGATTGCCATGATCATAGCCCTGTCTGCCATTCCCTCAGATGGAAAACTCAAAACATATAGTAATAAAGCCTCCACCATATCTTACCGTACACCAAACATAACGCTGATGAGACTCACCCCATCAAGTTTTGGAATTCAATGACCATGTGACTGAAGTGTTCTGAGAGCTCTCACACATGTACAGTATGTTCCTCCTGGGAAACAGAAAACTTTCAGATTCCACCAAAGTGCTCTTTCTACAGCTTCCAAAGAGGCCATGACAAATTCTGTGTACATACCTGAATATTTTTAATCAAAACCTGAATGACCAGTTGTAAAATTTTTATAGGTGAAAGAAGATAAATGTCAGCAACAACTGCAAAAAAACGAATAACATAGTAAGCTTTCAGCTCCCTGAATCAGTATTTAGTAGAAGTTCCTTTAGTCGTAAATACAGCTGTGGGTCTTTTTGGATAAGTCTCTACCAGTTCTGCTTTACAAAGAAAGAAGACTTTTCATATGTTGTTCTTTGCAAACACACTGTCAGCTTGGTTAGGAATCGTTATTGTCTGGCAAATTTTAAGTCTTGCCACAGATACGGTATGCTAGCATATTCTTGTCAGGACTTTAATTGGGCCAAAAATAATTCTCTTCTGTCTTCAAGAATTGAAATAAGGGGAATTTTAGGCAGATCAGATAGTGCTAATCCAGAGTGGAATTTAGCAGGTGGCACTAGCCTTAACACCCCTAATTTTGTGAGCAGCGTCACTGAAACTAACGGCCAAGTAGTTGGACCCTCACCCAAAGTATGGTCCATTATTTATTCTGTTTTAGCTGTTATATAAGTCACATGATTACAGAAACATACCAATTCCTCCTGTGCATGAGAGATTAAGTTAACAAATTGAAATAACAATGTATTCACCTCAAAGCAGTCACGGAATGCCTAATTGAGAGCAGTGTACAGTCGAGCTTCAAATAGGTCACGTTTTGAACTACGGTACTCTAGTCCCTGATGTTCAGGGCTGACTTTTAAAATGCGCTGTGCATGAAGCATAATGATGTCTGCAAATCTGTTTACTGTCTCCTGCACACGTAATGTTTTACATACTACAGAGTACTACTGTTACCAGTAGTAAATGTTATTCATTTCCCTGAAGCAAAGATTAATGAACTTCCTATCGTCTATTATTCAAACTAAATTAACAAAAAGTAAGATGAAAACTACATAATAGTAGGTGCAGTACTCTTTTCTTTCAGAACTCTCTGCCTTAGGAGGATGCATTTTGAAGAATTGTTTCACTACCTCGTTAATGTATTGCTGGCAGGGCAGAACAGGAAATGCACTTTTGTGCTTGAGGTGATTCTTCTTCTTGTTGGTGTACACTGTATGAAATTCTCAGTGTAACTTTGAAAGTGATGATTTCATTATGTTTAGGTAATAAAAATCCCCCCAGATTGTTTTATCACACTTGTGCAAGACAGAGTTCAGGGGTTAATGAAACCATTGAGGGAGGCTGTGCTTGGAAAGATGAAGATGAGCTATAGTATTTCTCTACCAGCACTCTGGTAACAAAAAAGAATAAAGATGCTAATTAAAAGGCATGTTGGAGATCATAAGAATGTAAGAAGGATTATAAACTAGAAGACATTCTAGTTCTAGCAAGTACCAACAAATTGATCCAAGAATCTCATCCAGCTGTTTCTTGAAAGAAACCAGGGTGTTGGCTTCAACAACTTGCCTGGGCAGTTTGTTCCAGACTCCCACAACCCTTTGTGTAAAGAAGAGCCTCCTGTTCTCGGTTTGAAATGGACTTCCCCGCAGGTTCTCAGGAACAGTCATTACGCTTTCTCCTTGTTTTGACCATCGTACAGCGCGGGTCGCCTTCGGCGCTTCAGTTTGACTGGCGGTTTCCCTCCCTGCAGGGCCTCCAGCCGGGTGAAGACGGTGTCCCAGGGCTCAGGGGGCTACGACAGCGACAGCGTTGAGATGCACCCCCTGGAAGAGTGTCCCGAAGCCCAGTACTACCACGTGCAGTGCCGCTCGGGAGAGCTGGCCTACGAGCGGGCGGGGGCGTCTCGCAGCTGGGGGCTCAGGAAGCAGGCCATCCAGAACTGGCAGCGGCGGCCCTACCGCAACAGCACGGAGGGGGAGGAGGGCGACGTGTCCGATGTGGGCTCCCGGACCACCGAGTCGGAGGTCGAGGTGTGGGAGCAGGAGCGCAGGGCCTCCTCCGACACCCAGCAGTCCAACTCCCACAAGGCCAGCGGAGGATACCGACTGGGGACAGGTGACCTTTGACCTTCTCACCCTAGCAGGGCCGCATGCAGGTCGTGCTGTTGACGCATTTGTAAAGCCAATGGGAGCAAAGGCCAACATGACGCGAGAAAAACATTACATTATTAATATTATCAAATACATGCTAAAATAAGCTGCCATATTTTGTGAGAAAATCACAGCAATTCGCAGTTTAGCCATAACTAAGAAATTTGATCATTTCATGGAGCAACTCGATTTCTTTAAATATTAAAATACCTTTGAGCATGAGTAAAAAGCTGAATGTTTTTGCAGAATATGAAAATATACAGTACTGCAAATACAGTAGTATACAGTTACCAGTACTTAATGTTATTCATTACCCTGAAATAAAGCGTAATTAACCTTCTGTTGCCTGTGATTTAAACTAAAACACAATTTTTTTTTCACGCAAGAGCAATTTCTTGAAAATTCTAATCCGAAAATAACTTATCTGAAAAAACTGTGGTCTTGTTATTGTCAACTCTGTCCAAAGCACAGTTGGTTCTTTGAGAATCTGACTAACTAAATTCAGTGACGTGCTCTTTTTGTACAATGAATAATCAACTGATTCCTCTCAATGTGTAATTCATTAGCACTGAAATACATCTAGCATAATGGACTGAGCAAATTGCTCTCGTTAGTACGCAGGGAAAATGGCCTTCAGCCTCTTGATCTTGGAAGGATTCTTGAAGTGCCGCAGATCTCAGTTTGATGCCTCTGGCTGTCACGCTATCTGCTGTTGCTACAAACTATATTAGGGCTACTGAAAATGTGTCCATTCTAACGCATTCCAAATCGTAACATTTTATTCATCCAGCTCATATATTATTTCAATACAAGCTGGCAATGATCAGAGAAAGACATAACTGCAGTATGACCCATCAGGATAATCCTATATATTGAAAAGGCCACCGTTTTGACATTCCTGTCTAATCTGATTCTGTTTTTTCTTGCAGGAAGTGTTTTCTTAATAAATTAATTGTAATAAATTAAATTATCTCTGCAGGTTATTCTGTAATCCTGCCCAAAGACAATGTCCAATGTAATACAGCCACCCTGGTAGTAAATACAAACATACCAATACTTATTGGAGCCACTGCATGTCACGTAATAGAGGGGTGAGATCCAGTTTTTCATTCTGAATGCTTGGCCCAATGTTCTGATTTCTAAATTAATTTTATGGCAGTTAGCTGTGACAAAGCAGGTAGAGAGAATTGCAATTACTTGGTAAAGTGCACTCTTGTCTTTTGGCTGAGAGATGTAGTCATCTGACTTGGTGTTATCATATTCTGGGCTGGAAATAAATTGTGGTGGAACCAATTTCCAAATACAAAAGACCTGAAACGTTGTTTTTTTGTTTTGTTTTAATGTGTGCCACTCCTTGCCAGGCATGCTTGTCTGAAGCCATAAAAGACAAAAGCACATCCTTTATAAAGTACATTTTTATTTGCACTCAGTCGCTTCTATCTAACTCCATCACTGTTAATACCAGTTTAAGAGGAGATTGAGAAATAGAAACTTTTGATGAATCTTTTAAAGCTAACCATTGCTGTCACCCACTTTTATAGTCCCTCTTGTTAGAAACATGCGTGTTTTACATGAGGGTTTCCTGGTATCATAATAAAATGCAAATGTAATGGGATATCTCATTGGGTCTAAATTAGAACTCTCCTTGTTCCCTTTATTTACAAAACAACCTGTTAAGGCCAGTGTTGTATGCAAAGCTGTTTAGGTTTGTATTCGTCAGAAAAAGCCTTGTATTTCTACCAAATCTATTGAAAGATCACACACTTTGTACCCTCTTTCCTTAATTTCAGTTTAAAACACAACAAAGTAAGCATGTCTTTCCCAGACAGCTCCATCATGTCGAACTTTATTTGTCTTTACATTCTACCTCTGGAATTAGGAGGGGACGAGCATTTTTAGTGACATCACACTGATATCACACTTGAGTGAGGGTGAGTCTGAGTCACTGAAAGTAAGAAGCGGCTGTCCTTTGGTATAGTACACTCTGTCTGCACTTGAGATAGACTATTGAATGTCGATAAAAGTTCAAAGAGTTTGGACGTAAAGGCTGACGCATGTAAACCAGATTGGTGCTGATCTTAGCTGGTAGAAGAAGTATATTAACTCCTGCATATAAAGCAATTTGGGAACTTTATGTACTATATCTTACACTAAATTTGATTAAATCCTCAAGTTACTAAGGAACCTAACTTCTATAATCCTATTATTACATAAGGTTTAATTTGTTTCTGGTGCTGCACTGTGAATGAGCACTTCACTTTAACTGGAATGCATATTTTGCTGTCAATACAAAAGTACTACAACATTTTCCTGCTGGCTGCCAATTGAGTAGAAGGAAAATTGTACTGGTACTTCTGCAATTACAGCAAATATCATAGTAGAACTGAATGGTTTTACTTTAAACACTTGACTGAATTGAAGAAAAAGTGGCAAAATTCTATTTTGCTGTGCAGTTTTAACCATGCGATAACTGGATTATAACAATCAAGATCGCAAATCAAATATCATTATTTTTGTATGTTTCATCCAATGAACAGCTGAAATATATATGTAATTTTGAAAGAATAGTGACTCTATTCAACAGTGGTTATATTTTTAACATCATACAACAGTATTGACCATTAAGTTATGGAGTAACTTATTTGTAACAGTCGTGACTATTTTATTTTCACCTTCTTATTGTTTCACAAAGGAGAGGAGTACCTTTAGCCCAAATTCTTTATTTTCGTGCTTCAGGCTTGCATAGGAACAACTGGGAAGTCACGCCGGTGTTTCTGCACAAATGTGGCATCAGCATGCCACAGTATGTGAGCTTGACAGGAATCTGTTGCGTTAATGAGCTCTGTAGAGAGATCGTAGATGTCAGGGAGAGTTCTTTCCAGACCCTATGCAGACGACACAATCCAGGGCAGAGTGAGGAAACACAGGGAAAAAGGCATGCAGGATACGGGGATGAGAACAGGGGGGGCCTGTCCATGGAGTGCCGGTGGTCGGGGGAGGTGAGGCCGAGGCAAACGATCCAGGGATGAGTCAAACGAGAAATCCAAAACAGAGCAAAAGTCCAAGGCCAGGTGATCTATCTGAGACAGACAATTAAAATCCAGAACTGGGTCGGGACCGGCAGGGGAAACGGGAATGGGAACAGAAACTAAAACCATAACAGAGCCAGGCGCTTCCAGGTCCCGGGCTCGCGTGATGCGGAAACCAATGCAGAGCCCGGATAAGCGTCAGCGTCTGGCTTTTAAGGGGGAACTGAAAAGGGGCTGGAACAGGGAGCAGGTGCGGGAGATGAGACAAACAAGGAAGGGCTGGAGCGCCCTTAAGAGGAGGGGTTTGCGATCATGACAGTAGACCCACAGGCAATTTTTTCTTGGTGTAACAACAACACTTCCATATGGAAAAAGTATCTGGGGGTGCTCTGCTGAAAACTGAGGCGTCTTTCTGTGTCTCACTGTGTACCAGGCCGCTCAGAGACTGGGTACAAGCCATGCCGACATGAGAAAAGCAGCCCTTCAAAGTCAAATGAGGTCATCAGCCCCGAGATTCTGAAAATGAGAGCAGCTCTGTTCTGCATCTTTACCTACCTGGACACCAAGACCCTCCTGAGGGCTGCTGAGGTGTGCAGGGACTGGAAATTTGTTGCTCGTCATCCTGCGGTGTGGACCAGAGTGCTGCTGGAGAATGCCAGGATATCGTCGAAGGTACACCCGTCTTTAAAAGCTGCCTTGAAGATTCTCTTCCCTTTAATCCAAAATGTTTGTAATCAGACAGTTTAGATTCGCTAGCTCCCATTTTCTCCTGAGTCTTGCCTTTGTTTCCGTCATTTTGTTTCTCACAGTTATTTCTCTTTCTGGAGATTCTGAACAGAGGACAAACTATTTATCTAGAAAGTGTGTAAGAGTATAGTCAACAAGAAGGAAATTAAATCATTTAGAAATGAGACCAAAAATAAATCTGAACTTTATCATGAAGAATGTGATGAAGTTTCGTCACTTTGATTGAGACCAAGAGTAACCATTTCTACAACAGGTCACACTAATGTGACCATCCATAAGGAGATACTCAAAATCTTGTCATTCTACAGTATGTCTAATAATAAGGCACTGCTGACTTTTTGTGTGAATTGACTTTTTTGTATTTTTAAATATGTAGTATTTGGTTCGTCCTGCTGTTTTGGCAGCAGTAAAGGACCAGGAAACGATAGCTTACATAGTAAACAGACAAAATTGATATACATATTTCAGACTCTTGTTCTGCATTATTTCTGAACTGTTTTAAAACTGACTTTTATCTCCTCATTCTCATACACTGAGGTGTTCTCTTGAGCAGATCAGATTAGATTGATCAGCGATTACAATGATCACTAATTATGTGGGGACTCACAGGAGATTGAGACAGTAAATCTGTGCTCTTTGAATGAGGTCCTCAGATCAATTAACTGCTACCAAACAGGCAAATTGGACCAAATGCTCTTCCTTCATTTGTAACCTTTCTTATGTTCAAACAGTTGGAGGCTATGAAGGGAACAAAACCATTAATTTTCCACAGCTTCCAATGTAAAATGAAATATTCCACAAGTTCAATTAAAAACAAAAAAAAATAAAAGCTTTCCTGCAGTTTGCTGGTTCTGCAATTACAATGGTAATGAGCCAAGCCCTATGCAGCTATTAAATAAAGGTTACATGTTATTAACTGGATCCCTGAGCTTTTTCATGATTAGAGTTTGTTTCTCGATTGAAGCTCAACAGTGATAGAGTTGCAAGCTCCTTCATTTCTAAATGTTACAGAACTAACGAAAGGCAAGAACCTAAGACTCCTCATCATAAAACCAACAGCACTACAGAATAAGTACCTGTGAGTTTCTCCATTGTATTACACTTAGGAATCACTTTCATTTAGATATGCATTCTTTTCATGTCTGGCAGTGAAATGCCTTTTTTTCTTCGCAAAACAAAGCCACTTTTCTGTTGTCTGCTGGGGTTGGAAAAGAGCCTTCTTGCTATTTTAATGTATTAGTTCTTTCCCTCACTGCTGTAACCCCGTGTGTAGTTGTCCCTGGCATGGTAACTGACCACTGACGCACTGACCACTGACCACTGACCACTGACCACTGACCACTGACCTGGCGCCTCTGCCTGCAGTTCATGACCACGCTGGCTCAGTGGTGCACGCAGACACACTCCCTCATCCTGCAGAACCTGAAGCCGCGGCCCAGGGGGAAGAAGGAAACCAAGGAGGAGTATCTGAAAAGCACACGGTAAGCTTCCTGGCTCCTGCAAAGGGTTTTTTTACACACAGTACAATTTCTTGCATTAGGAATTTGTCTTTTCGCATACCCCAGCTTGCTCTCCATGAGACACACAGACAGGGAGAGAAAATGGGGTCAGAGCGCAGGGTCAAAAGTTGTACTGTACAATGCCCCTGGAGCAGCTGGGGTCCAACAGAGTAGGATTCCTCTGCCGACAACGGGATTTTAACTGACATCCTTCCAGCCACAGGCGCAGATCCTTAGCCACAGAGCCACCGCTCCCCCCCAGTCCCTGTGATCAACCTGCAGCATGACATGCCCAGTCCAGTCCCCATGACCCTGGTGTTTCCGGGTTGTTTTTCCAGCTAAGAGCTCAGTTTCTTATATAAACCCTTAACCCAAAGTTCTGTGAAGCAGTGGGAACTTTTTTAAAGAACTCTTACTGCTTTCCAATTTAGGTTATCTAACATATAGATTTAGATTCCCTCACATTTATGTAACGATTATATATTACAATTGGGATTTGAACCCACACCTTCTGATTACAAGTCCAGAACCCTAACCGGTTGTGGTTAGCTCTTATGCTGTTGGATTATGTTTTTTTCGTTGAACTTGAAGTCTTTCAAAGAATGTATCAGGATGAGAAAATGCCAGATCAACCTTTTGTTGAGTTATGTGTTACGAGTTTCGACATTGAGAGCTCGTCTGCTTCCGAGAACACGTCTCTGTGCTGGAGAACAAAGCCCGTTCCTTCGGACCGTTAAACGGCTGTGAGCGATAAGAAAGAAACTTGTACAGGTTAAAAAGTAGAAGTTATGCAAATAAATCTGATGGTGCGTGTCAGTAGTTTTTTCATTTTATTGTACTCTTTCGCCTTATTTCACAATTGTTATCCAACCCCCCCTAATATCATCGTGTTGTACAGTCATGCCCAATTAATTAAAGAATGCAAATTGCTAAGATGTGTCTGTCTGAGTGATGACTGAATCCCTGGCAGGGGTTTGATATGGTTGGTGTCAGTGAGGTGGCTAATGAGGTCACTGCGATTTGAAAGAAAAGCTGATTAAAAAACAATTACATTATTGTTTGGGAGAATGTGCTGGTAGATGAAAACCCCGACTGGCCTCAGCTGTCAAGCCAGTAAAACGTTTTCTCCATCTGATAGCAGGCGTGCTCTTTCTCACCCCATGGTACTCGTGTCTCCAAGCTCTAGGGGATTACTGTTGCTCCATTAAACAATTACCATCGCGTCACACTGTTCCAGCATGAGTCACTGTTTTGGTTTTCATGGGTCCCGTTTTGAACTTTCAACAGCACAGCGAAGCAAACAGCGTTCACGTCAGTCCCAGCCGGTCAAAGGGAATAATGCACTCCTCCCCCTCCCTCCACCTGACCGCCCCAATCCCTTTGAGTTAGTCCGTTTAAAACAGATGCTGTCCAGCATGTGACAGAGAAAGGTCATCGTCAAGCAGTCTGGACATGAATTCGCATTATGTTAACCTCTATGACACTTAAATCCAGGGAGCCTGAAATGTAACTCCAGCTCTTCAGGGTGCTTCTAAAATATGCATTTCAGAAATGATTCCCAAGTGTAAAGGAGACAATTAAATGTTTTGCCCTATATAATCCAATTGTTAAAGACGCGTTCTTATAAATCTGGTTTCCGTCAATGAGACCAAAAACACAACAAGAAAACACTTAATTTCTTTTTCCCTAAACTTAATTAGTATTTTGTTTTCGGCAGACCTCTAGAAATGCATCTACTGAGAAGTGAGCAGATGCTAGTAGAAGAAGATCACTTTCTTATCCATATACAACTTCTTGTATTAGGAGTATGTCTTTTCGCATACCCCAACTTGTTTTCCATGAGACACACAGACAGGGAGAGAAGCTTGGGGTCAGAGCACAGGGTCAGCCATTTATATGGTGTCCCTGGAGCAGCTGGGGTTTAATGGCCTTGCTCAGGGGCCCAACGAAGCAGCAACCTTCCAGCCACAGGCGCAGATCCTTAGCCACAGCTGCACTGTAGCGCTGTAGGGCTGAAATCAGGTGCTCTGCTTTAACTCTCAATCCCCGGAGTTAAATGTCCGGCTCGTGCTGCCCTGATGGACCCTTTCACAGCGAAGAAAGTCTGTTCCTGCTCTCCTGGTCTCTACGTAAGGACCTAGGATTTCTCACACTCATGGAAAGTGGTCCTTTTCTATCCCAGTGCGCTCACGATTGGCAGCACAGGGACATGACAGTTTA